CAGCGGTAGTCGGCAGTCGGACACTTGCCGAAGAGCATCTTGTCACCCCCCTGATCTGCGAGCTGGGCTGAGCCGCCGAGTTCCAGGCGCCCTTGACGGCATCCTCGACCCGCCAGCCTTTCAGGCGCTGCCGCAGCTACGGCCTCGTCGCCCCTGGGTCGAACTCGGCGTTCTCTTTCCTGCGCAACTGCTTGAAAACTTCCTGGCGCATCTGGCCCAAACCTGGGATGCAGTCCTGCGCTTTGTCGTCGCGCCCCTCGGCCCTCAGCGCGCGCGGGGTCACTCGAATTAGATCGCACGCGGCGCCGCGCACATCCAACTCGCGGCCTGCCCCTACTGTAGCTCCGGCATCTTCGCGCTGGCAATCGCTGGCGGCCAGCAAGTACTCGGCGTCGGCGTGCTCCAATCGCTGGCCCCCTGGCTCGTCGCCCTGGGAGCTGTCGCGCGTCGCTGGCGCGGCGGGGGCATGGGCGCGGGCCGCTGGGTCGTGAAAAGCTGCGGCGGCTGGATCTGCCACGGCGCGCGTCGCGCTCGCTGGTGGGGCCAAAAGTTGAACTCGAGCCGGGCGGCTGCGGTGATGATGCCGTTTGATAACTGCGCGCTGATGGCTGCTCTCGTTGCTCGCAACCGCTTGCTTGCTGCTGAAATCGAACGCGTCCTGGCTGAGGCTCGCCGTCTAGCATGGCTCCGCGCGGCCTATGATCTGTCTGCGCAAGCTGCGCTGCGTCGGGCGAAGTTGGAATGACTCCCCATGCTTCATCTTATGACCCCGGCGATGCCTTTCGCGATGGCATGCGCGCGCACGTTGCCTGGCGCGCCCGTCGCTCGAACAGTTCAACGCTGTCGAGCTCGCTGCAGTCAGTCTCCGACAGAGACAAGTCGGCCTGCGAGCCGTCGACCCCTTGGTCGCAGCTCTCGGGCGCCTCCGGCTTCGCGGGGCGGGCCGCTGCAGTCTCAGCGCGGTAGGTCTCGGCGTGGTAGGTCGCTCGTTGATCGACTTAATGTCCAGCTTGTCGTCCCCGGCGTGGTAAACGATGTCCCGCTCGCTCTGGGCCTGGCGGCTAAACGGTCCAGGAACGGCGCTGCGCGCGATGCTCGCGCGGACGGTGAACGCCTTGCCGCTCGCCGAGCAGGGGGCCAGCGCCGCCTTGAGGCTGCTCTGATGCTCCAAAACGGAACGGCCCCTTCTCCGGGCATTCGATGGGGCGGATGTTGAAGACCGCCAGCTCCTTCTGGATGTCGCTGCACCAATCCAATCCCCCGCCGCGCCGCGAACAGGCGGCGTCGAAGGTAAGTGCGTCTCCTGGCCCCTTAAGTAGCTCTTCGACGCTGATGTAGATAAGCGCCGAGCCCGTCGCTGCCACGAGGCACGGGGTGCCCGTGTGGATGTAGCAGTGGGCGGCGATCACCTCCTCGGGAAGCATGGTGGCCTGGCGCAGCACCCTTTGGTCGATCGCCTGCAGCGGGCTCTGTTCGCCGGCTCTCGCCGCGCCCGCCAGTTCCTGCTGGTGGACCGCCGCGAATGCCATCTCTGCCACGCGGGGCTCCTGCGCGTCTCCGGCCCCGTCGTGCGCGGCAACGTTCTCCTTGTGGCTTCCCTTGCGAGGGATGTCAGCCCTCGCGTCGGGATCCTTCTTCTCAGGGCGCTGCGAGTCACCGCGCCAGTGGCGCCCTTCTGGCCGCAAGCTCCGCTGTGCGTCCTCGCCTTCGTCTTCGCGATCCCGGCGTCGTCCTTCTTCTGCGGAGGGCCGCCGTCTCGCTCGGCGAAGTAGCCGCGCGCCTGCTTCGCCACTGTGAGTTTGTCCTTGGCGCGCGCCATCTTCTTGGTGAAGAAGGCCACCTGCTCCTCCGCGCCACCGATCGCGCCCTGCAGCTAGTTTGGCAAGTCGTCGTCAAATTCATCAGAGCTGTCTGATGAGGCGCCGTCGAATCTGCACTCGGCCCTGCGCTCGTCGTCGCAGGCCCCCTGTGTCGCACACCTTCTTGCGGCCCCTATCGTGACCTCCGTGGCCTCCATTGTCGCGGTTGGCCCCGTTGTCGTCCAAGCCGGAAGCCCTGGGAAGGTTGATCATGGGCTGCTCCTGGACCCTCGTGGGATTGAGCTCGCCGCCGACGGCGTTGAGCACATTGGCCGCGCGCCCAGGTGGCAGCTGGGCCCCTTTGATGTAGAGATCGGCCAAAACTTCACCGGGGACCTGGAACCCCTTGGCCTTCAGCTTCGCGGCGGCGCCGTTGAGGCGGTCGCTGAAGTCGCGGATCACTCAAGCTGGCTTCACGAAAGTCCCCAGCGGCGCCGGGGTCTCCAGCACCTCGATCTCGGGAAAGAGCTGCCTGAGGTAGGCTTGGAACTCCACCGAGTCGTCGCCCTTGATGGTCTCCAGGTCGAGCTTCTCGCATGCCTCCTCAGCCTTGCCCTTGAGGCTCGCCAGGAGCGTCGCCCCCTGCTTGAGGGGCTCGTCGTCGGTGCCGATCTGCCAGGTGGCGACCTCCCGGCGGAACTCCTTCATTGTCTTGCTCGTGCCGTCGAAGACGGGAACTAGGATCTTGCCCCCAGCATGATTGCCCTCACCGTTGACTGCAGCGGCTCCTCCAGTAGTCGCCATGCTGGCGGCGACCAAGCGCAAGAGGTATCAGTCGCAATCACGAGCTTGTGTAGTGATTCATATGGACTCTGCAAAATCACGCACGTTGCCGTGGTCGAATTCGCCCCTGATACCAATGTAACCCCAATACTGCGAAGCGGGGTCGTAGTGCAATGATAGCAACGCGGGTGTAGATCAGCAGTGATACACAAGATAAATGCAAAGATGACGAAAAATGGCTGCTTAGCACAACCTACAAAGGCACCTCCCGACACGGCCAAGTACAAAGGCCCTGAAAAGGATTAAGCCCACATGAACACGGCAAAGGTCAGCACATGCGCATGCTTGCTACACACATCAGCACTGACAGTATTTATTTCACACCCTCCCCTGGACTTGGACGGGGGGGGGGGGGTCGCGAGGCGCTGGAGCGTCCAAAGTGGCCCAAGACGGCTCCAAGAGCGCCTGAGAAAACCCAAGATGGCCTCCAATATGGTTCAAGATAGCGCATAATCGCTCAAGGTGGATTCCAAGATGCTCCAAGAGGCCACAAGACCGCTCCAAGATGTGTCCAAGTGACCCGAGTGCTCCCAGGGAAAGCCCCGAAGAGGCCCAACCCGTTCGAAAATCGAACAAACATGAATGACATTTGCATCGTCGCCCGGTCGCTTCCGATAGCATTCCGAGGCCCCAAGACGGGAGACGGCTCCAAAAGGGCCCCAGGAGAGCCCAATGGAGACCCAAGACAGCCCCAAGATTGCCCAAGAGTGCCCAAGGACTCTTCAAGAGCGTCACAAGAGCGCCTCAGGAGAGGATTTGTTGGGCTCCCGAGGGGGGGGGGGGCTAATTTGAGTTCCACCCTTCGTTGATCGATGTCATCCAGGATGGCCCAGAGAGCGCCCCCAAAGCTCCCAAGAGCCCCCCAAGAGGGCCCCAAGAGGCGCCCAGACTGCGCTAAGAGGCGTCCAAGAGGCTCCCAAGGGACCCCCAACAGGCCCCAAGAGGCCCCTCCGAGGTACGCAAGAGGCCCCTGGCACCGCCAAGAGGCACCCAAGACGGCCTTGGGGTATGACGCCTTGCCCAACCCGTTAATCCCCTGCATTATACCCCACATCAGTGATTACACAACTCGTCTGGGCATCCTTTGTGGATGGGCTGGCGGGGTTACGCGAAGCGTCTAGAGTTTAGTTGTTCCCCGTTTCCTAAAAGGGGTTTTTGTTTTCTCCCACATCCGGGTATCTTGTCTTCTCTGAACACCCCGGGCAGGAACAGAAACAGGAACCCACCCACATCAACATCACCATTCCCACCACCATCACCATTACCATCATTAAAAACACCATCATAACCCTATTTTTCGCCACCCACACACTCACACACTCACTCACATTCACACGCATCATCAGCAACATAATTTTCATCATCAGCAGCACCAGTATGCGCACCATCACTTATTCCTTCACTCGCTCACTCAACCACCCACTCATCATCATCACCAACATCATGAACATGATTCCCAAACACATTCACACTCACACACAAGGGCACACAGCCACACACTCATACATTTATTTAGAAGAGCCTCGTTTGTGAGTGGGTTGTGACGAAGTCTCAAACGGGGTCCCCCTCCCTGTGGAGCCCGAACTTCACGTTGGCATTCGAAACGGGTCATCAAAACCCTGTAACCTTGTGCCGGTGATAATAAGGTACCCCCCCTTCACACGGTAGAGTTGATTATCCACGGCCAATAAGAGTTTGGTCAGGGGCGCGGGGCGCGGAGGCCGAACTTTTCTATTATTGTGAAAAGTTCACCATCGAGGTTAACTTCCCTCTCATGTTGAGATAGCAACATCAAGCGAAGCGAAGACGTTTTCGAGGATGTCTCAAGCGAAACCAGCAATTGTTGGAGGCAGCCTCAAACGAAACGATCAATGTTTCAAGGATGTCTCAAGCGGAACGAGCAATCCTTCGAGGATGTCTCAAGCGAAGCGAGAGACTTGTCGATGAGAGACTTCCTCCTGCTCCTCCTCCTCTCTCGCTTTCTTGTTCTCTCTCTCTCTCTCTCTATCTCTCTCTCTCTCTCTCTCTCTCTCCCGCCCACACTTGATCATCCGTCACCCTCATCTCTCTCTGCGTTCCCGTGCTTTACCTGCTGCCATTTCGTGCTTGAGCGATATCAGGGGCCGTGCTTGCCCACGCGACGCTCACAGCAAGAACGGCGGTCGCCGCCATAGCCTGGATTGAACATCGTCGCAGACAGTGACTCTCTCACCTTCTGGATTAGCACGGCCACGTGCGGCGACGGGCATCCAGAGTTCGAGTGCCGCCCCAACCGGCGGGGTGCTTCCATATTTTCTTCTTCGTGCACATAGTCGGCAGCAGCGAGTCACATCGCCTTCTTCTCCAGCGCAGGTTGGCATGGCCACGTTCCAGAGAGTCTTCGAGCAGGGAGACACAGCAGAGCGCATCAGACAATGCTTGGGGCCCTGGGCCCAATGGATAGGCCAGTTTCGCCAGGTGTCGACCCACTACTGCGACATCCTCCAAGGCCTCTCGGACTCCCTGCAGCTGACGCACCAGCGGGCAGTGCAGGAGGAGAGGATCAGGAACAACCAGACATGGGCGTGGCGAACCCAGAGAGAACCACACGAGGAGATCATGGATGTGGTCATGATGGACTCGGACGAGGACATCACCGAGGAAGAGGCCCTGCGAATGCTGAGGAGGGACTACGGCCAGGTCGACACAGATCAAGAATGGTCGATGTCCTCCAACGATCGCTGGTCGGATGCCTCATAGCCTCAGAGGAGGCCAAGGAGCGCCTCATGGTCCGCTGGCCGCTCCCCATCCACCACATCAAGGACCACAATATCGTGTTGCAGTAATTCAAGATATTCTTTTTCGTTCGTCCCGCGTCCCCCAGGAGTCAGCGCCCAGCCAACTACGGATATGGATATGTGCTCAGAGGTTTCACAGACACGCAGTCCCCAGGCTGGTGAGCCTGTTATCCTTCTTACTCGAGTACGTTGCGGGCCCGACGAGGCCGGCCCACCGCCCCCTCCGAGGGGTGTATCTGTGGAGTGTTGTCAGCTTCGCACTAGTCACGCTCGCCATTCTCCGGCTTCGACGGGCGCAGGCACAGCGCAGGGCACCGTCATGGGCGAGACAGATTCTGATCATGATCGCCCCCGACTTGCGCGCCGCCATCAACGACTGGGATCATCCACTTCTCTATCGGATCTTCGAGTGCTTTCTAGGGCCACCGCGTGGAGATACCCGTGCTGTGGTGCATGTGCTTGGCAGTCATAGTGGATTGTACATTGGCAAGGCAGCACTACGTGAGTCAGCCCTTCCAAGGCTACTTGACCGAGTGGCTGAACATGCACGGGCTGTACTTCATCCGCGAGTGGGCCCTGGGCGGCGACCCCGCTACCGTGTCCTCAGGCGGAGCCTGGGGTCCTTGTTCTCCTTGCCTGTGCTGCTACTACGGACAGAGATGGCGAGTTTTCATTGCGTGGCATTGGCTATCAGACGCTTCAACCCGAAGTGCAACCAGCGCGACGCCATGGAGTCCGAAGCAGTCAGCAGGCGGCGCGGAGCGGGGCAACTCCACGCGATGGTGAAGACCCGCAGCGCCCGCCGCCGCCGTCCCCCGTCGTGGAGGCGCGGGCCGCGGGCGACCACCAGCGCCCCCGCGTGGACAGCCACAATCCTCTCGGCTGTAGCAGAGCATGCACCCCGAGCTGAGGGACCTGGTCTGGAGGCCCTATACCCTGGGGCACTTGCGGAGGCAGCACCGTACGGGATCTTGTAGCGACTCCAGATCGAGGAGCACTACCACCTGACGGGGGAGGCTGGACCACTGTGGATATTCGAAGGCAAGAGGCTTGGGCTCCTCCTCGCCTGCCTGGCAGCCAAGTGGAGAGACCTACCCGTGTTCACGTTCAGAAGCCGTTAAGAGGTTGGTGCCCACCTGTACCTCGCGGCATCGCAGGCGCAGTTCTTCCTGCGGTCATTCCATCGTCAGCGGATGGCCATGCATCACATTGACTTGCACCTACGGCGTCTACGACTCCCCCGAGCCAGATGCCCACCCATTCAGCTTCCTGCCGCCTTTCAGGAGGCTGAGTACCGCCGTTGGCTTAGCTCGGCTATCACGGCCATGGCACGGTCAATGGAGTTTGCCCCGGCTCGAGAGGTCACCTCCGACCACCGAGGGCAACCTATGCGAAGGCCCCGCCATGCATCGGTGTCACGACAGGGTGGGTCCTTGAGTTGGCCCTTGAATTGTTCCTACTGGGGTATCCCATCGACGTCATCACTGCCGCTGCCCATGCTGCTCCGTGGAGTGTTTCTGCTCAAAGAGTCCGAGCACACCTGCGAGTTTGGCGGCAACACCTTCGGCTTTCTTCGTCATCTCATCCAGTTTGCGCCATGGGCAAAGGCTACAACACCCGCTGGGGCACAGAGCAGTGGGCAGGCAGTCGGAGCTACGACAAGGGCTATGACCAGGACCGTGACCGAGACCGTGATCGGGATCGCCGTGACCGAGACCGCGATCGACGTGATCGGCGGGACCGCAGGGATTCCAGCTCGGACCGTGACCGTGATCGGGACCGGGACCGTCGGAGCAACAGCAGGGACAAGTCCCACCGAGCCAAGAGCTCGACCAGCCACCACGACAAGCAGGACATCGAGACCCTACGCAAGCAGCTGGAGTCTAAGGATAAGGAGTATGCTGCCTTCCTCCATGACAAGGCGTGCCGTGAGAGGGAGCTCGAGCTCCGCAAGCAGGGTGAGTATGTTGCAGCAGCGCTCAAATCGTCATCCACAAGCCAGACGGAGGAGTTTCGCAAGGCACTCGCGCCAGACAGCTGCCCCCCTACTCCTCGGGCCCGCTCGTCATCACCAGGAGATGTGGCCAAGACCCTCTCGCGCTCGGAGCTGGGGTGGATCCAGACAGTGGTGGGAACGAAGACGAAGCTCCAAGCCAAGGGCAACCGTGAGGAGATCTGCGTCCTGGTGGCGAAGTCCCTGGCCAGCGACAAGCACGCGACGGGGGTGGCCAACAAGATCATCCTCTCGCACGTGCCCCGCAAGCAGATCCCAGGCAACCACAAGGACAAGGCTTCGCTTCTTATGGATATAGTTCTTGGGAAGCTGGGCTGAGTGAAATCTGTCCCTGGATCCCTGAGACGCCTGAACCCTAACCCAGAGTTAGGGCAGCAGCAGGAGCCAAGTGTCCATAGGTATTTTATCTCGTTTGCCTTCGGAGTTTTGGTAGGCCTCTTCCTGTATATTGTTCTCCCAGTTGGAGGTGTCCGCTACCTAGAGGTTCTCAGGTCTTACTGGGTACTGAACTGGTCCCATGCCCGCGAAGCCTCAGGCATTCAGATGATGTTGAATGCGTATGAGTTGCCTGTTACGGTTTTCAGTTCGGGGGAAAGTGCCCTGGTCCAGAGCGCCGTTTCAGGAGCCATGGGGATGGCTCTCAAGAGTGTCCTTAGATGTGCAGGTGGAGCCCCAGGGTCCCCCACCGTGCCAACCGCCGTTCCCTGCCGTCCCCCTGGGAGGACCCACCGCCGTGAAGTGCTGGGCATTAGATGATCCCAGGTGCTGATAGGTGGAACCTCATTGGGGCACTCCTCTTTCTCTTTCTCCCTCCCTCCGCCTCATATCGATCATCCCTCCTATCGATCCTCCTTCCTTCTCCCTCACCTCCACCATAGAGCCCTGCCGTCTCTTCAGATCCAGGTGGTCGAGTGACCCAGCCAGTATGCCAGGCAGGCTGTATCCCTGGGGGCGAACACTGGACCCGACCGTCCAGACCCTTCAGCTGTCGTGTGAGACTCAGCCAGTATACCTCGCGGGCTGTTCCCCTGGCGGTGAACCCTGGGCCACATCAGAGGGCGGAAGCGATTCCCCTGCCCGCCTAATGTCTCCCCTTCCCACCTCTCCCAGGCATCTTATTCCTCCCCCGCCTCCACCCTTCCTTACGTGGTCCCAATGCCCAGCATGTACCCACACTGGCTGTTCCCCTAGTGGTGACACCTGGGCCTGACCAGGCTCCCCCGCAGTCGCCCGCGTTGTTTGATCCTGATGAGGAGGGACTCTCTCTCTCTCTCTCTCCCGCCCACACTTGATCATCCGTCACCCTCATCTCTCTCTGTGCTCCCGTGCTTTACCTGCTGCCATTTCGTGCTTGAGCGATATCAGGGACCATGCTTGCCCACGCGACGCTCACAGCAAGAACGGTGGTCGCCGCCATAGCCTGGATTGAACATCATCACAGACAGTGACTCTCTCTCTACCTCTCTCTCTCTAGTTCTCTCTTTGTCTCTCTGTCTCTCTCTCTCTCTGTCTTTCTCCTTCTCCCCCTGCCCCCCTGAACGTTTCATCGCGGCGGTTTACTATCCACGAAAACCGAGGCGCGTGAGCTACCCTACGCGAGCAGATGGAAATCTGAATTTCCATTGTTTGTTTACAATTGTTTGGAACGTTGGTTTTTCTCCTACTCCTCCTCCTCCTCCTCCTCCTCCCAGAAGGCCTCCTCCTCCTCCTAGTCTCTCCTTCTGTCTGTCTGTCTGTCTGTCTTTCTCTACTTCTTTCTCTCTCTCTCTCTCTATATATATGTCGAACTGTATGTATAGTTCTGTCTCTGTTTCTATATGTCTTCCTCATTCTCCCCCTGGCACCCTAAACTGTTTTATCGCTGTGGTTTACTACCCACGGAAACCGAGGCACATGAGCTACCCTACACGAGCAAGGATGTCTCAAGGGAAACAACATGTGTCTGAGGATCTTTTCATAAACGAGGACGTCTCAAGCGAACCGAACAATTGCTGGAAGATGTCTCAAACGAAACGAGCGATTACCGTATAATATCTCAAGCGAAACAAGCACGTTTTCTCGGGCCTCGATCTTCGACCCTCGGACCTCGATCCTCGATCCTCGGACCTCCCCGACGTCGATCCTCGGACCTCGATCCTCGACTCTGGGATCTCGATCCTCGATCCTCGGACTTCGCTTCTCGATCCTCGATCCTCGGCTTTCGGTCCTCTGAACATCACCTCTTTCTCCTCCCACATGCTGGCCTCCCTGTGGGATTATTATCCAGCACACAGGGTTACTTGTCGTCATTTGTTGACCCTTCGCGCCTGAATTTTGAACCAGATAGCATCAAGCGGATTTGGTGTTTGATGTGTCTTGCGAGAAAGTCTCAGGCGGCCTCCCCCTGAGGAACCCGCGCTGCATGCTGGCAATCGGAGCGGGTCATCCAAATCTTGGATATGTCGTCACTTTTGGGCCCTCGAGCCTGAATCTTGAAGAAGCCTTCAAGCGGAACCCTTATATGTGAGTGGCTTGCGCAAGAGACTCAAGCGGGAACCCTCTCCCTCTGGGTCCCGCGCTGCGCATTGGCTATCCGAACGGGTCATGCGAGGAATATATATATATATATATATACAAGACTGCAGTGGCGCTTCGCGCCATGCACCTTGGTCCTTGAAGTTTGGTATGCAGGCGGAGTGGTAAGAAAATCAAGCCGACAATTTAGCGATAACTCCTGGTTGCCTTTTCCGGCATCGCTGCTATAATGATGTTATTCGTGATCCTTCCTCCATGCTTATTGTTCCTTATGTTCGCCATACCCTGTGCATTCTCCCCATCCTCCTCAGCTCTTTTTTGCGAAGGCTCTTCCTTGGAGAGCCTCTAGGGGCCTCACACAAGTTGTTTCGGGCTTTCTCAACGCCTTCTGGAGGCCTCCTGGGCGTACTTTGGGGGCCTCCGGGGGCGTCCTCGGGCCATCCTGCCTCCAACCGCCGTCTCCCTGAACGACCGAATCACGATTTTGAATTCTTCGGAAGGTGTCGTTGGGCCATCTTGGGCCGCCATGGGGCTCTCTGAGGGCCATCTTGGACCCGTGTTGTGCCGTTTGGGGGCTCTCTTGGACTGCCTGGAAGCCCTTTCGGATGGTTGTGGGGCGATTTTGGAGCCTCCCAGGCGGCTTCGGACGCCCAGAAGACCGCCGTCTTGGAGCGTCGGGAAGCCGAAAAGAGGAGAACCCAAAAATTAAGCAAAAACCTACAGAAAATCAATCATTTTGGCCTCGGGGGGCCTTCTTGGGAGTGCTCTTGGAGGCCTCTTTGGGGCCGTCCTGGGGGCCTCTTGGGCCATCTTGAGGTCACGTTGGTCACTCTTGGAGCGCTCTTGTGCTGTCTTGGGGGTCTCTGGGACGTCTCCGATGACCCCCCTGATCGCCCTAAGTGTGCTGGGAAGGCTTGGCAAAACGCCATGTGAGGCCCGGTGGCCGCTTCGAGGCCCGTCTGGAGGGCCCCAAAGCCCCAGGTCCCGGGAGTCCGTTTTTGGGGGGGGGGACGGGTTTTCCCCCCGCTCGGGCTTGTAAAAATATAGGAAGAGGAATATAGGTCCCAGCACGCACCATGAACCCCTCTTTTCTTTTGGAAGATGCCAAGAGAAAAGGGGGGCGGAAGGCGCGCGCTGCAACCGTAAAGGAAGAAGTGTGGCAGAAAGGTTGGTTGTGTGATGGAGAAGACAAGTGTGGAGTATCGGGTGGAGTGTTGGGGACGGAGGGTGTGGAGTACCCAATGGTGTGTAGGAGACGGAGGGAGTGGAGTAGAAGGTTATTTTCAAGTTCGGCTTAAGGAGGGAGCCTGTTGAGTATCGGGTGGTGTGTTGGAGACGGAGGGTGTTGAGTACTGGATGGTGTGTTGGAGACGGGGGGACTTGAGTAGGTTATTTTCAAGTTCAGCTTGGGGAGGGAGCCTGTTGAGTATCGTGTGGTGAGTTAGATACGAAGGGTGTTGAGTAGAAGGTTATTTTCAAGTTCGGCTTGGGGAGGGAGCCTGTGGAGTATCGGGTGTTGTGCTGGAGACGGAGGGTGTTGAGTACTGGATGGTGTGTAGGAGACGGAGGGAGTTGAGTAGAAGGTTATTTTCAAGTTCAGCTTGGGGAGGGAGCCTGTTGAGTATCGGGTGTTGTGTTGGAGACAGAGGGTGTTGAGTACTGGATGGTGTGTTGGAGACGGAGGGACTTGAGTAGAAGGGTATTTTCAAGTTCAGCTTTTGGAGGGAGTCTGTTGAGTATCGGGTGGTGTGTTGGAGACGGAGGGTGTTGAGTACTGGATGGTGTGTTGGAGACGGAGGGAGTTGAGTAGAAGGTTATTGTCAAGTTCGTTAATGGGTTGAGAAAGTCTTCCAAAGATGAGCCTCAAAATGAAGTCCGAACATCGTAGGAATCAAATATGAATTCATATATGATCTGGAGAAAAGGGGGGGTTCTTGGTGCGTGCGGAGGGCTATATACATATACATATATATATATATATACATATAAAGATACACGATACTATTGATATTTATATTTATGTTTATACATATATATTCCTCTTCCTATATTTTTGCAAGCCCGGGCGGGGGGAAAACCCATCACCCCCCCCAAAACCGGACTCCCGGGACCTGGGGCTTTGGGGCCCTCCAGACGGGCCTCGAAGCGGCCACCGGGCCTCACATGGCGTTTTGCCAAGCCTTCCCAGCACACTTAGGGCGATCAGGGGGGTCATCGGAGACGTCCCAGAGACCCCCTAGACAGCACAAGAGCGCTCCAAGAGTGACCGACGTGACCTCAAGATGGCCCAAGAGGCCTCCAGGACGGCCCCAAAGAGGCCTCCAAGAGCACTCCCAAGAAGGCCCCCCGAGGCCAAAATGATAAATTTTTCTGCAGGTTATTGGTGAATGTCAGGGTTCTCCTCTTTTCGGCTTCCCGACGCTCCAAGACGGCGGTCTTCTGGGCGTCCGAAGCCGCCTGGGAGGCCCCCAAATCGCCCCACAACCATCCGAAAGGGCTTCCAGGCAGTCCAAGAGAGCCCCCAAACGGCACAACACGGGTCCAAGATGGCCCTCAGAGAGCCCCATGGCGGCCCAAGATGGCCCAAAGACACCCTCCGAAGAACTCCAAATCGTGATTCGGTCGTTCAGGGAGACGGCGGTTGGAGGCAGGGTGGCCCGAGGAAGCCCCCCGAGGCCCCCAGAATACGCCCAGGAGGCCTCCAGAAGGCGTTAAGAAAGCCTGAAACAACTTTTGTGTGGCCCCTAGAGGCTCTCCAAGGAGGAGCCTCCGCAAAAAAGAGCTGAGGAGGATGGGGAGAATGCGCAGGGTATGGCGAAAATAAGGAACAATAAGCATGGAAGAAGGATAGCGAATAACATCATTATAGCGGCAATGCCAGCAAAGGCAATCAGGAGTTATCGCTAAATTGTCGGCTGGACCTTGCTGCCATTCCGCCTGCAAACCAAACTTCACGACCAAGGTGCATGGCGCGAAGCGCCACTGCAGTCTTGTGTGTGTATATGTATATATATATATATATATATATATATATATATATATATATATATATAATATATATATTATATTCCTCTTCCTATATTTTTATAAGCCCGGGCGGGGGGAAAACCCATCCCCCCCCCCAAAACCGGACTCCTGGGACCTGGGGCTTTGGGACCCTCGAGACGGGCCTCGAAGCGGCCACCGGGCCTCACATGGTGTTTTGCCAAGCCTTCCCAGCACACCCAGGGCGATCAGGGGGGTCATCGGAGACGTCTCAGAGACCCCTAAGACAGTACAAGAGCGCTCCAAGAGTGACCGACGTGACCTCAAGATGGCCCAAGAGGCCTCCAGGACGGCCCCAAAGAGGCCTCCAAGAGCACTCCCATCCCAAGAAGGCCCCCCGAGGCAAAAATCATTGATTTTCTGTAGGTTTTTGTTTAATTTTGGGGTTCTCCTCTTTTCGGCTTCCCGACGCTCCAAGACGGCGGTCTTCTGGGCGTCCGAAGCCGCCTGGGAGGCTCCAAAATCGCCCCACAACCATCCGAAAGGGCTTCCAGGCAACCCAAGAGAGCCCCAAAACGGCACAACACGGGTCCAAGATGGCCCTCAGAGAGCCCCATGGCGGCCCAAGATGGCCAAAAGACACTCTCCGAAGAATTCAAAATCGTGATTCGGTCGTTCAGGGAGACCGCGGTTGGAGGCAGGGTGGCCCGAGGAAGCCCCCAGAGGCCCCCAGAATACGCCCAGGAGGTCTCCAGAATGCCTCAAGAAAGCCTGAAACAACATTTGTGAGGCCCCTAGAGGCTCTCCAAGGAGGAGCCTCCGCAAAAAAGAGCTGAAGAGGATGGGGAGAATGCGCAGGGCATGGCGTCTTGCCTCGGGGGGCCTTCTTGGGAGTGCTCTTGGAGGCCTCTTTGGGGCCGTCCTGGAGGCCTCTTGGGCCATCTTGAGGTCACGTCGGTCACTCTTGGATCGCTCTTGTGCTGTCTTGGGGGTCTCTGGGACGTCTCCGATGACCCCCCTGATCCCCCTAAAGTGTGCTGGGAAGGCTTGGCAAAACGCCTTGCGAGGCCCGGTGGCCGCTTCGAGGCCCGTCCGAGGGCCCCACAGCCCCAGGTCCCAAGAGTGCGGTTTTGGGGCGGGGGATGACGGGTTTTCCCCCCGCCCAGGCTTATAAAATATAGGAGGAATATCCTCTAGCTCCTCCTCCCTCCTCCTCCTTATGTCCGTATGCTCCTCCATGATTATCCTTCGACTTGGCCGCGAAGGTATATGATCCAGGTCTAGCACCGCCCCCTCACATGGGTATGGTGCCCCCCCCCTTCATGACGCGCTCGTGGGAAGTAGGAAGGCGAGGGCGGTGAGGGGTTCGACTTGGGGTAGGCGGTGACGGTCTCGACTTGGCGCTGGTCATCCCTCCCTTCCCTCTGGGTGTGGTGTGCGGGGGGTGGGCTGTGAGAGGCTCGATTTGGCACTCTCTGTCGAAGCAGTGCAGACTAGACCGAGGAGGAGGAGGAGTATCACAGCATCAGGCGCTCGCAGTGTTTCCCGATCCCTTGCGCCCGCAACGCTTTCCAAAACCTAGCTTCAGGCCGGACGACAACGACCACGAAGACGACTCCGACTATGACGGCGGACCTTGGACCGTGGCGGCTCCTGGAACCAAGTCAGCCTGATCCCGCCCAGAACGACGACGACGACGACGGACCTGGTCTTTGGAGCATGGACTACGGGGGGGCAGAAGAAGCCTGGACATATACGAATCGCTTCCGGTTCGACGGCAGCCCCCAGTCATTTGTGCCACTGCGCGCTCCAACACTTACCTGAGCAATACAACTCGCCTAGGCATCTTTTCTGATTGGGCTGGTGGTGGTACGCGAAGCGGCAATATTTCAACATGATACTGTGCCCTCCCTGCACATAACAAAATAGAATGAGCGCTGCTCGACAAACCCCATGCATGATCTAAAACAATACCCAGTCGCCCGTAAGCGTTTGCGGGTTAAACCCTGAATCAATGATCGACGATAATGCCAGACTCGCCTCGTTGACAAGATCATTGAGATCCTCTGTGCCGGATGGATGGGCGGGTGAACTGGGTGACAGAGAACAACCTGCAATGGGTCGACAGCATCTCAAGGATACGAATACGATGTCGAACAAAACAAAAACGCCGACCATGAACTGACAGCTGCCGATCTTGGTAAACGTACGGCCCTCGTCCTTGGCTAGCTTCTTTGCAGTCCCGAAGTCGATGAGCTTGATGTAGCCCTCGCGTGACGAACGGAGTCTCGCTACGGATCAGCTCTGAATCTGGAAGACAAGCTCACGAAGTCGAGCGGTGCGTGATGTGCACGTGGCTTGTAGGCTGGCGACAAAGGTGGCTGTTGAATACAAGCGAACAAACACATGCGTCCCCCCGTGGCACCTGCAACAATGTTCCCGCGTCATCCCGTGGCGCATCTGACATCTACCCATACACACCTTCCACAATGCACCCGGTCCGTGCTTCGAGCCCGAAAGATATTGGCCACGGCGGCCATGCAAACGCCCGACAACCAAATATCCGCCACTGCGTTTGCGCGATAGTAGAATTAAAATGCTTGTCCTTTGATCGGGTTCGAGTAGTTTTCAAGGCCGACGCCCTATCGTTGCGGACGTGGGTCGAACACCGCTCCCCTTGGTTGTCATCCCTGGCGCCCAGTTCGGCCGCATGACGGCTCCAGGACGGCCCAAGGCAGCCTCAAGACTGCTGTAGTATGTACGAAGGCCAGCGCCAAACTGTCCAACAATAGCGTGGGTGGCGGCTGGCAGTAGCTGCGCCATCACACGAACATCTACCCAACGACACACGCAATCATGCACGAATCCGCGACCAACTCGGAAACGCGTCATTATCTGAAATGGATCCCACCAGCCCTTGAGGGCGTAGGTGGTCTAGGGAGTTTCCTCTTCCAATCCCCTTCTTCCCCTTCAGGGATGGGTTTAAATTACTGTTCCCTATTGATAAACACCCCCTCCCCCAGGCGAGTCGTAGCCAACCAAAAACCATGAGGGCCCCCCCCACCATCCATTGTGAAACAACTATACAAAACACACTGTGCCTCCAAATTCGGAGCATGCGCAGCCAACCCGATGCGGCCTCCCCCCACCATCCCTGTTAAAAACAATGCAACATACATTTGGCGGCGGCTGCGGCGGCTGCGGCGGCGGCGGCGGCGGCGGCGGGGAAGGCGGCGGCGGCGGCGGCGGCTGCGGCGGCGGTGGCGGCTGCGGCGGCGGTGGCGGCAGCGGCAGCGGCTGCGGCGGCAGCGGCGATTTGGCAACAGGGGCGGCGGCGGCGGCGGCGGCAGCGGCGGCGGCGGGCGGCGCGGCGTCGGCGTCGGCGGCGCGGCGGCGGCGGGCGGCGGATTGGCCCCCCAGCAGCTGCCCATCCAAAGACGACTGCTGAATCTGCTGAAGCTCGGGCCAGGCTCGGGAACTACGTATGTGTTCGGAAGGCGGGTGGAAGTGAGCGAGACGACTTGCGGGCGGGGAGGGGGTCTTGATCACTGTTCCCTATTCGTATACACCCCCTCCCCCAGACGAGCGGGAGCCAACTCAGGTCCATACGGCCCCCTCCCCACCATCGCCCGCAAAAACAATACGAAACACACTATGCCCCCACCATCCCTTGCAACAACGAATACAAACACACACTCTGTCTTCAAATTCGGAGCATGCGCAGCGAACCCGATGCGGCCTCCCCCCACCATCCCTGTCAAGGAAAAAAACATCAGTACACTTGGCGGCGGCGGCTGCGGCGGGGGCAGCGGATGCGGCGGCTGCGGCGGTGGCGGCGGCGGCGGCGGCGGCGGCGGGGGCGGCGGCGGCGGCGGCGGCGGGGGCGGGGGGGGGCGGCGGCGGCGGCGGCGGCGGCGGCGCGGCGGGGCGCGGGGGCGGCGGCGGCGGCGGGCGGCGCGGTGGCGGCGGCGGCGGCGGCGGACAGCGGCGGCGGCGGCGGCGCGGCGGCGGCGGCGGCGGCGGCGGATTGGCCCCCAGTAGCTGGCCATTCAAAGACGACTGAGTTTGAAGGGGTCTGAAGGCCCAGCCAACAGCTTCGCCTCAGGCGAAGCCAAGCTCCAGCTCTGTTGTACCGTACTAACGATAGTCCCAGTATGGGAGGAGATGCCATCTCAAGCAATGGGAAGACTCTTTTGGTCTCGATAGCGCTTGTGCGCCTCGCGGCGAGGCACATTCAAATTTGGGCGGCCACGGCGCACGCTCGTTTCCACTCCTCGCGCCCCTCAGCTCGCTTTAGAGTCGGGGGGGGAGGGGGCGAAGCATGGGCCCGTCGCCCCTGCACAGCAGGCAGAGCAGCTAACCTACACAAGGACAGGAAAGGAAACGGGCCCAAAGGAAGGTGGACCCGCCAGCAAGTTGCCTCGCATATGTATGACATACTTATCAGGCGGCGTCAGAACTTGATGTCTGGCCGGCCCGATATGGAGCATGTCTCTTCAGGTCATGTTTGAAGGTCTGTATGCCTCCCATGACTTGTAGGAGCATTTCTCTGTCGATGCCCCCCTTGGCGTGGCCATCCGCAGTCCTATCGCGGGTGCCACACCACTGAATGCTGTGCGCGATTCCACGCTCCATCATCTGTCGCATCCAACTGATGTGTCCTAAAAAGGGAACGCCCAGCCGGCTTCTTCAAGTCTTTACTTGACCAGGACTTTTAAACAGACTCAGCATCGATGGTCAAAGTGACCTCGATGCTCAGGCCACCCAACTCAAGTATATATGTCAACTGAGTGGGCGTGAGCGGCCCCGCGCGGAGCTCGTGCAGAGTCACAATCGCGGGGTAGCAGTTATCCAACTTATGGGCTGCTGCTAGTGTCTCCGCTGAATAGCTCGAGCGGGCCTGCAAGCGGTGAGATTTGCAGTGCGCATCAATCAAGCGAACGACAGGCTTACCAGATGACGTGTTTCCACGTCGTAACAGGTTTGCCCCGCGAAGGCCATAGCCGTCGACGTCGTCGTCGGCGTCTCCACTCAGACGTCGATATCCTGAGTCGCTATGTAAGTCGACCTCGCCCGTGGGGTTCATCGCCTGGTAGACGATCTTCCTCGGGCAGGCCTGCAACTTTCTGGTGATCGCGCTCAGTCGTCGCACTTGAATGTGTGGTCGGTTCTTGGACGCGCTGTAGAGATACAGCATGCACCATTAACCGCACCTGGGTGATCAGTGCGCATGCCAACGCACCCCGGAGACAGACGAACATGTCTGCCACCATGTCGGGTGCTTGGGCGTCAGCGTCAGCCCCGTTTAGTTCGGGATGTTGTATAGGACGGCGCTGGTTAATATATTCATCTTGATCCGAGGTAACATCACCGTCCTCGTCCTTAGCGTATCTCACAGCACAGTTAGTAGATGTGTGCTTGTTGAATTTAAAATTGCCGAACATATCTTCAACGCATTTTGGCACATTTGCCAATGGTGTCCTCAGTACCGGCCAATGGTGTCCTCGTCTCGAACTCCTCGTCGTAAGACGTGGGTCGGAGGCCACATCTTCTGCTGGGTCTTCTGAGCTTAAGTGAGAATGCCCGTGGAGCGTCCTTAGTGCCTGTGCCCGGTGTCCAGCACTGTAAGCAGTGCCTTGACTCGCCGTAGTTCTTAAACCCTGGAAGAGCACGGAGCACAGTGGCCGATCCAGGCGGCAACGTAAAGCACACCACACGTTCCTTTTCACCAGTAGCCTCAGCAAGTTCCTGATAGGCCAATCCTTCCAGGAAGGCCATGTTGATGTCGAGGGAAGCATTGGTCCACTGCTCCTTGCACGCTGCCGTGCTAACGAATAACCTCTGGCTTGACCTACTGGCTGTTTAGAACATGTTTCTATGTCGAAAACTTCAAGGTCCATGAAGCCTCGGAGTACCAAGCGTAGTCGGATGGTGCGTTCCATCACGCCCCTTTCGTTCTTCACGAATTTGTACTTGTACACGTACATCGAAGTCATGATGTCCGACGCTTTGGCTATCTCCTGCATCTTGAAGCATTTGTTGTCGAACCATGTCTTGAGCTCAGTGAAGAGGGCCTTCGATACTTTACCGGGATTCGCCTTAATGTCAGCTTTAGTGAGAAGGCCGTCTTCCTTGACGACCACGGCTCGCTTTGCAACGGCGGTAACGTATACTCGCATAGTGATCACCCGGTCGGCATCTAATGTCATGCGTTGCTGCTCGGGCAAGACTACCTTCGACATTTCTGTTTTAAAGCATACTTCAACGTATCGACCATTTTCGCCTGAGTTGAGTCCGTACCTGTCGTCTTCGACCATGGTGCACAGGGGGGCGTAGTACGTCTCCTCGGTATCGGAGTCGTGAGTGCGCCCCCACTTCGGCAGGTGTCCCCGCTGTTCATCAGCTACAGTGATCAGCGCGCTCTGATCTGGAACCATCTGCGTGGGCATGGTAAAGAGGTCTTCTGGTGGAGTTACCTCCAGCAGTCCTCTTTCCATTTGCAATTCTGCGTGCCACACCCCCATAACATGCGACTCAAGATCAGCCTTGATTCCCCGGAAATCATAGAGAGCCGTCCGTCATCATGTGCAGGTTCGGCTTCTCAAGCTTCTCTCGCCGTTCCTTCCGGTGTCGGCGCATCAGCCAAGTCCTTACATATTGGCATGTCCTGATCGAAACCTGCTGGAGGTTGAATGGACTTAGGGCATCTGATGATTCGTGAATGTGCTGAGCCAGTTATATCATACAAATAAATGTACTCACAGCAACACCTTCTGCTTCGTAGTAATGGAATCCTGGATTCGCGTCGTTGTCGTAATGGGCCAATGCGCAACTGCCGGCATAACTAACCGGAGGTAGCTTATGGATACTCTCGGCCAATCTGACCGAAACTACATTCTCAACGCGGAAGAAGTTTCTGCTAAGATATTGCAGGCCCACATGTACAGTACGGGATAGACGACTTGCAGTCGTAATATGAAGCGTACCTTTCTTGGTTGGCACATAGCCAAATGTCAAAGCAGGTCTCCCCGCTGATTCAACGCTGTGCGTAGTGCAGTGTTGTCGGAGCCAATCTCTCGGGCTATGAGTGCTTCAATGTATAGTGACTGTATTGCATCGCCGTCTTGTACTTGATCATCTCGATTGCCTACTCGGATGATGGCCTGCCCCCTTTCGGGATCTTTCCTTGCGACTGGTAACGGGCCGTTCCAGCCTCCCCAGTCATCCTTCGTGGTCGTAGGGCGATGGTGGTCGACCAAGTCTCCTTC